CACAGTTGGTTAGTACACGCGGATATTTTGTCTCCAGTCTATTTGAGTCTGCTCTGTGAAAGTCCAAGAGACTCAGGAGGGAATGAAACTGAGTGGACTGAACCAGGCACCCGCATATGCAAATGGTCTCACTTCATTGAGAGGAGAATGTAAATTCCAAAGGATGGAGCAGAAATGCTGCTGCAAGCCAATAAATGAAACAGCGTAGAAGTGAATATCCTAAATACATTCTAGTTAGTTAGTTATTTTAAAGAGGGTGGGTTCCCCATGCACCGCGACCAGTTTGATCTATTGTGCTTCCCTCTATGATATTCTACCAGTCTCTATACCCTACCGATAAATGGTGCGTGCCATCAGTCCCGCCGAACAAGCGAGTTCGGCCACTTGCTTAGCGGTGTCTATAATGCTTCCCCCATCTATCAGAGGCCTTAGAGACTATTGTTGGGCGGGAAACGTCCTCGAATTTGGCTCAGTGATCTCCTTTGGGGATATGAGGTTCTTTTACGTGCCGTAAAGTTACGTCACGGGACATACAGCTTAAAGTCCCTCCCGGAGGACTTGTTCCCTGAATTTTTCCGCCCTTAAAAATTCGACGACCTCCGCCGGGTATTTGAACCCGCGTACCACGAGTCACGAGGTGGGAACGTTACCTCTAGACTACGGAGGCCGCTTAAATACACTCTAAGCCATGTACGATCGTAAAGGGAGATTCAGCGCTCTAGACAATACTCAGGGAGATACCTGGAGAAGTCAAAGGGAGATGCAAACGTAAATAAAGTTATCTTTTTCAGGGTCGCCACCGTTCCGGGGTTACGATATGTTTACGGTGATGTCACTTTGTAGTAATAGTAAGAGGAAAAGTTGTCCATGTGCTTAACGTAACTCAGCACTACGCCATGAAGACGTACGGCGGAGTGGCTATATAGATCCAAATTTTCTTGACCTCGTCTCTAGTTGGAGGTGAGTGGTCAGCTTCACGCCCCTGCCGTTTTGTTCATGTAAAACTGACCCCGGCACCCATTGGATAGGAGGCTGGATGGGCTCCAGAACCAGTCTGGAAGGCGTGGAGAAAATTCTTGACCCTACCGGTGCTCGAAGTCCGACCCCTCATCCAGCCCATGATCAGTCACTACACCGACTGAGCTATCCCGGCTGTGATTATTTGACTGAGGCTCCGCGCCGAGGGCTCTTATGAGTAGATACATGAAGAACAGTCATCAGACTCGAAGAATAGGAAAGGCAACAGGAACAAGGCAAAGAGAATAATGTCTGCATTTACTAATGCGGAAGTTGCACATATGCATTTCTTGTGCAGTTTTTGCAATGTAAATTCTCTCGGTGCACTGAGGGATTTATTTCCCCCACAGGCTCTACAGCCCTTTTATTGCCCTGGTCTCGGATTTTTTTCTTCAGTTTCACGATAATTTTACAGACGGTAGGACACCTTGGACGAGTGATCAGCTCGTCGCAAGGCCTTTACCTAAACACAGGATAACACAAACACAGAACAAACACATAGACATACCAAACATCCATGCCTTGTGTGGGATTTGAACTCACGACCTAGGCTTCCGAGCAATCCTTAGACCACTCGGCTACTGTGACCGCAGCACTGAGGGAATATCAACATCAATATCCGAATACGAAAGAGACAAATATATGGACTTGTATTTGAAAAGGTGAATTTTGATTTGAGATATTCAGGTACGCTCATTTTACATGCAAATATTGGCCGAAAAATATAAAAGTTCGGGATGAGGAAGATGTGTTGGATATCACGCACGCTAACCCACCAACCAGCACCCCTCAGGACTTTCTCAGAATAGTCTGGCGGACCCTGCATAAGAATCAGCTGCATCCTTGCAGGATGCGACGGAAGATCGGGATTGCGATTATCATGTAATTAATCGCACTGGCTGCTGCAGGTATCAGGGATCTGTCTAGACAACACAAGGTCTCTGTGAGGCCTCTGACCATGAGAACATTTCGAACATCTCTTGTACATCCATTGTGCTGCTGAACCGCACCAGCAGAATACTATGAAGTGACGATTGAAAGAATGCTACAAAGAACAGAATTTATTTTCTTTCTTTCATTCTTTATTTACATACAAACAGAAGAACTAACGTAGAAAGTTGAAAAAAATTATTTCCGTTTCATGAAAAATCGACAATCACAATAATGCGAGGGGGAGCCAGTAAATATTTCACAAATGAATATAGGACGTAAAACATATAATATTCGATCCTTGAAAAAGTATTTATTTCTCGACATATCGCCCACCAACTCTGATATATTTGTGCCATTGCTTTACCAGTGCGTCGAGACCCGTAGCACAGAACTCCTTTGACTGTTGTCTCAGTCATTAACCTAAATATGTCCTAACTCCTTAACGGTGGGAAATTAAAAAAAAACTCTATTTACATTTTGGGCTTCAATTGGTCTCCCTAACACCCTCCTTTTTCTTAATGCTAGTGGGGTGGAAGTAAGTCCCTTGTACTGCGGCCACTTCTGGCCTATCGTACCAGCCCCAGATGATAGGTGAGGGTGATTGTGGAGCAATTAGTGGAATGAAGATTGGCAGGGGAAACCGAAGTACTCGGAGAAAACCTACCCCAGCGCCACTTTGTCCACCACAAATCCCACTTGACCAGACACGGGGTCGAACCCGGGCGGCCGCGGTGTGAAGCCAGCGACTAATCGATTGAGCTATGGCGCGGCCTAACAACCTCCTTAAGTATTTTACTAGAGCTTCGAATCAATCTGCATATTAACATGATACGAAATCAAAATTGGAAGAAAATTATAACATAAGCATGCCATAAATTATTCGAGAATGTTTCAAGACATAAGTGCTGCCTCTCTGGGTACAGCACTACCAAACGGGAATGCAGGTCATGGGAATTAAACACTTTGAAACAAGAGGCGAGAGGAATAAAACTAGGAGACATGACAGGCCGACATTCTTGTACTTCAGTTTCGAGCATGGAAGTTAATCAGGGTCTGAGCAGTGCTCACTCGCCTGGGGAAGAGAGAGAGAGAGAGAGAGAGAGAAGAAGGGGAGTAGTGGGAAACAATATGTTTTAGGAATGGGGAATATTTTCCCCTGCTTTGAAAGTTCTGGGGCAATTCTTGCTCGACCTTCTTGTAGAGATACATTTGAGAGAGGGTTAATCTTTAGGAAGTGAAGAAGGTAAAGCGGTAGGTCGAAATTTTTATGTTAAGATCGGGGAGGGGCGTGTGAAACATGCGACGCAACGTAGAATTTTCGTACGAACTCAGCATTTGCTCTAAGACAAAGTAAACCAACCGAGAACATTGATCGAGCTGGCCGGTCGCAGGACATGCCGGCATAAATTGACTTCTAGCCTACATACACGAATCCTAACGTTGGTCCCTATCTGCGCTCTTGCTTTATTTCGAAATATTTTACAGAACCTAGTCCGTGTGCATATTTAGGATAAACCTGGACGTACAGGGACAGAATTTGTTGATCCAGTTCGAACCTCACAATAAACGCAATACGTCACTGTCAGGAAGACCAATTAATTTATATTTGGTGTAAACAATCGCTATTTATTCGCAATTTTTATAAAATACGAAAATACACTTAGTGGAAGTTTTTTTAACGTTAAGGCAGGCTACATACATAAAAAAGTAAAGCTATCCCAGTAACAGGCCGTGGAGGCCCATAGGGTTGTGAGATGTTGAGGTTCCCACATTTTCTAGACAATCGGATCATAGATGGCGGCAAGGTTGTCAGCCTCATGCGCCGGCCGCCCTTTACCCCCAAGAATATTCCAAGAACATTCCTGGTACTCATTTCTGTTAGAGGCTGAGTCGATCCCAGGGCCATAGTGCGGCCGGAAGGATTAGATCTATTGAAAAGAATCCAATGATCTCATCGGAACTTGAACCCGTGACCTTCCGGCTTGTAGCATAGTGCCTCAACGAACTACGCTACCGCGTGCCCCCAGGCTATATACAGGGTTAGGAGAAGGAAGCCCTCTAACTGCTTCTTATTTTTCAAATTGAAAACTTTTGACCCGGATTCATTCACTCATGGCGCTGATCCCTTCTTGAGAAACCGCCAGTTATGCAGCTACTCAAGAACTTCCCAGTATTTTATGGAATCTTAAGGTTCATTACCGTGTTCACAAGAGTTCTCCACTGGTCCCTATCCTGAGCCAGATCGATCCAGTCCATACCACCCCATCCTATCTCTCTAAGATCCATTTTAATATTGTCCATCCACCTGCGTCTATATCTTCCTAGTGGTCTCTTTCCTTCTGGCTTTCCCACCAATATCTGTCGAGTTTCTCCCCCATTCGTGCTACATGCCCTGCACACCTTATCTTCCTTGACTTGATCATTCTAATTATAATTAGAGAAGAGTACATGTTATGAAACACCTCACTATGCAGTTTTCTCCAAATTCCCGTCACTTCACTCCTCTTCGGTTCAAATATTCTCCTCAGCACCCTGTTCTAAAACACCCTCCGTCTATGTTCCTCCCTTAATGTCAGAGAACAAATTTCCCACCCGTACAGAACTACAGGAAAGTTAAAGTTTTGTATATTCTAATTTTTATTTTTTATTTATTTTCCTGAATCAGGTTTTGATACTTTCTTGATTAGAATGACCGATACTATGACCTACCAGAATATTGACCTTTTCTCCTGGGACACTCTGTATAGTTACTAGACTGTGCTTTATATATCTAACTGTATGCAGCGGAGATATTCAATAAGGCAGAAAAAAAAATTCACCGAATTTGAAGGAAACCAAAAGTTCACTATCATGACCGCAAGAGCCCGATCTTTACATGCGAAGTATGAAATTCCTCCACACTTTCACATCCAATTTTTTTAGGTTAATTTAGTGCTACCCATTCTTGTAAACTTAGATCTTCCAAAGGATATCCCTCATTCAGTTTTTTACAACGAAAATTCTATTATTAAAATTATGATAAAAGTGTTTTTCTTTATATTTTTGAACAGATTCATAGTCTACGTCAGCAGCAAGACATCCAGAGGGATGTGGCCAGCAGCGCTGTGAACCTTCGCGTCTCTCAACAGTTCAGTGTGTACACCGGTTGAATGAGGCGACAGATCGTCCATGTGTGGCCTAGCGTTTAGAACACGGAATAGCCCCTCGCAAAAGACTTCTCTCCGCTGGGGTGATTGCTGTAACAACTGTCCTTCCTCCCACCACTGTCTCCTTCATCTTCGCTATCAACACTCCCTATAGGATGCCCCGAAACTGAGTATATCGACGATGCGTACAATTACAGCATTCCTAAAGCAATATAGGTTTCCTCGGCCTGTGTATACTTAGACGTAACTGAAGATATTACCGAACCACATAACATTTCTGTATTAAGTGAGATATATAAGAATTGGTATCGCTAGAAGAAACAACTAGAATTCACTGCCTGCCCCAAATACAAGAAAATTTATTGAAAGGATAATTGTTATAGGTGACACAAGGAATTGTATATATAACTATATTCCTTTAGGGAAGTCGATAGAAATATGTAAAGGACATTCACCAGCACGAAGCTATTAGCATAGGACATACCATCTTCACTCGACATGGATATCTGCGTAGTGAAATAGCCAATAGAGAAGAGAATTGGGGCGATTTCTCACAACCCTCATCATCAACGAATTCCAAATAACACAGATTTGCTTCAGTTGCAGCGGCTTCGGCGTATAACATATATATATAGAGCAAGAGAGAAACATATTTTTGTGATAGATATAAATGTATTTTTGTCTCGATTAGTTTTTAATGTGTGATTAATTTAAATTTGTGAACATTATGAAGAAATGAGGAGTTGTCAGTACCAAAAATCCTAGAAGCAAATACCCAACAGTATTCAATATACTTGCCAAAAGAAAAAAAAAACAACGTATTCTACGAAACCTCCATCCACAGGAATTGTTCTTCAGTCACCTGTCTCTCAATACAGAAGGTATGTAAGAGGCCTAAATGTCCTATTTAATATTATCTTAATAACAGAATATAAATGTGTCACATTTTCTTTATTTCTTACCTATTTAAGATAATGCTTATCAACTGCATGGCTTGCATGGTTGATTGTTATGAACATGAATAATGAATTGAGTTGAACGACTAGTACTTAATTTAATAACTCTCTCTCAAATGTAGTGGTTAATTAACACTGGCTGAAGAGGTGAGGATTTTAACTAGATAGGATACGTGGCCCATCCTAAATTGCAATGCTGGTATTAGCCTGGAGAGACTGAGAAAAACAGTGAGAAACCTCAGTCAGGAAATCCTCTTCACTAAATAAGATTCGAACCAGGTGCTATCCGATTATAGTGACACGCTTTAACACCAAAGTTAATTTGTTCGTCAATTAATTTATATCAAGTTAAGATAAATTAAATGAATGATTCTTGATTAAATCTGGGAAATTCTGAAATTTAGAAATATATAAAACATAATTTTATTTTGTGGGTGTGAAACCTGGTCTCTAACATAAATGGATGAATATAGATAAAGAGTGCTCGAGTACAATGGGCGGAGAAAATATGGAGACAGGAACTGAAAGGAAACTGCATAATGAGCGGTTTCGTGTTTGTATTCTTCACCAAATTTTATAAGGACCATCAATCAAAGGAGGATAAGTAGGGTGGAGCATTTAACAGGCAGGGTACAGATAAGAAATACAAATAAAATGTTAGAAATCCGAAGGGAAGAGATAACATTGAAGACCTAGGCGTTTATGAGGGAATATTATTAAAATGAATCCTAAAGAATCAGGCTGGGAGGATGTGGGCTGGATTAATCTGCTTAAGATAGGGACAGCGGAGCGAGTTATTGTGAATACAGCAATAGAACTTCTGATTTCTTAGAGGTCGGCAATTCCCTCACTAACTGGGCGACCATTAATTTCTGAAACAGGTGTTCCATGGAGGAAATTAGAAACGAGTTCCTACACTTTGCGAACAGTGAGGTTTGTGTATGTTGGCTTTGCAGCAGGACCGGCAAGATGATCAACATCGCGGGCATCATCTCCATCGTACTGTTCTACATCCTGATCTTAGCGGTGGGCCTGTGGGCGGCCCGCAAGAAGCAATCCGGTGATGACTCAGAGGAGGAGGTCATGCTTGCTGGGAGGAGCATTGGGCTCTTCGTCGGCATATTCACCATGACTGGTGAGTCTAAGCGCATTGCCGCATTGATTCTTAGGTTCCTTCCAATTCGGGAGGTGCCATAGCTCACGTGGTTAGCAGCCGGTTGTTCACCGCGGCGCTCCGACTTCGAGCCAAGTTCAGGTCATGTGGTGGACAAAGTGGCACTTGGGTAGGTTTTTTCCGAGTACTTAGATTTCCCCTACCAATTCTCATTCCACCGTTTGCTTCATATTCACCATCATCATCCGGGGCTGGTACAATTGGCTAATTACTGGCCGACGTGCCAAGTGGACTGAGTCTCACCCTAACCGAAGAAACTAAAAACTTTTCCAACTTCAGAGTTCTTCTGTAGGATTGAGAACGATTGGAGAAGGCAGTGGTCACAAATGGTCAGCAGGTAAGCATTTGAAGGGGGTCGACCATTGTCCGTTACACTGCAAAGACCTATAGTGTTGGAGTGGAATTATAGGCATACGGATGTCGTAGGAGGGTCAGCTCGGTCCGTGTAGCGGTGAGGCTACGGGCTGAACGGCCGGGGGTGAATTCCCGGTAAAGGGCAAAATATATTTCTTATATCCACATCCTCCAGATCAACTCTGGGTCTCAACCAACATAAAATGCAATGGGTACGGGGTAAAGCAGCAGGAACCTTTGTTTAGTGTCCAGGTTCAGAAACCTCCTACATTTATCTTTTCTTTATTGCTAGTGGGGTGGGACTAAGTCCCTTGCACTGCGGCCACTTCTGGCCTATTGTACCAGCCCCAGATGATAGGGGAGGGTGATTGTGGAGCAATTGGTGGATTGAAGATTGGCAGGGGAAAACGAAGTACTCGGAGAAAATCTGCCCCAGCGCCACTTTGTCCACCACAAATCCCACTTGACCAGACCCGGGCCGCCGCGGTGGGAAGCCAGCAACTAACCGCTTGAGCTATGGCGCGGCCTTACGTGTATCTTGATGGGGTGTGCTTAGTTAATGAAATGTGGGGATAACTTTACTTCAGATGGACATCTGCGAAGAAGATATCGATCAATGACTAATTTATTCTTGTAGGGCTTATTCAGTGGACCGCCTCTGTGGTCTAGTAGTAAGAGTTCCTGGCTACAGATTCAGAGGTTCCGGGTTCCATTCCCAGCGCTGGAACGGGGTCCACTCAGCATCGTGAGGATAATTGAGAGGCTACTTGACTGGAAAAGTTGCGCCTCCTGTCTAGAAAACTGAAAATTAATGGTAGTGGGGATTCATTGCGCTGACCACGGGACACCCTCTATCCGCTAAAGTAGGTACTAACTTCGCCGACAAGCGGCGGTCACTCGGTCGGTATAGTTCGCTTGTGGACTAAAGCCAGGGAGTTTAATTTCTAGTTTAGGGCTTATTCAGTGACGCTATCAATTGCCCACGCTCCATAGGGTCGAACTGTAATATATTTAATAAACAATTTCTCCTTCCGCAATTCGAATCAGACAATTCCCGAATATAAGAGGAAAAAATTATCGCTTTAGTTAACTTACTCGGTCGACCAGTGAGGAAGAGAAAATCGGAAAGAACACATTTTGCGACTAGCACTGTCTAGGTAACCTTCTGAAGCTGCGACCCATCACCCTGCACGGCTCGGTAAACACCCGTGTTCAGAATTCTGATACTGCCGCTCTTGCTGCTTTCTGTTGTGAATGCAACCCGGAGTGCTGAAGCGAACGAATAGCTGCTAGCATTTTAGGCGCCCGATTAATTTCCATGACATTTAGGTACTAGCACGCAAAACAATCTCTTTCACTTGACCACATATCACTTACGTATCCGCACATCTATCACCCACCCACCTACCTACTTACTTACCCGTCTGTCTCCGTTCCTCTAACCATCCATCCCTCCACCTTTCTCCCTCTTCTTTCTCTCGCTGTCAGTACTGCCAACTTAACACTGTTCCGCGCGTGAAGTCTTCGATAAATGACTGGACAAATATTGGCACTGTTCTTTCCTCAAGAGAGTAGGCGCTTTGTAGCTTCCCCAGCATAAGCTGCCAGGCGTTGTAATCCAATCAATTCAATATTCCCCTCCCTTCCTCCCCATCCATTATGTCTCTTTATACGTGGAGCTCTCTTTGTTTCCTCTTCGATGCGAGACAAGCATGAACGTCAACACTCAAGAATATTAGCTAAATGTGTATGGTTAACTGTGCTGAAATCATGTGCTGGAAAAAGAATTACAATCTTTATAACAAACAAAGGGGGCACGCGGTAGCGTAGTTTGTTGAGGCACTATGCTACAAGCCGGAAGGTCGCGGGTTCAATTCTCGATGCTGTCACTGGATTTTTCAATTGACCTAATCCTTCCAGCCGTACTATGGCCCTGGGGTTGATTCAGCCTCTAACAGAAATGAGTACCAGGAATCTTCCTGGGGGGTAAAAGGCGGCCGGCGCGTCAGACTGTCAACCTTACTGCCATCTGTGAGTCGATTGTCTAGAAGATGTGGGAGCCTCGTCGTCTCACAGCCCTATGGGCCGTCATGGCTTGTTACAGGGATAGTTTTAACTTGTCATAATAAAGTGAATTCAGCCACTTAACAAACATACCAGATAACTTAATGTTTCATATTAAACTCATCATATCATTAGCTGATTCACCAATCAAATCTACCACTGACAAATTTGTTGTCTCGACCGCGCCATAGCTCAAGCCGGTTAGTCGCTGGCTTTCCACCGCGGCGGCCCGGGTTCGCTCCCGGGTCTAGTCAATTTGGGTTTGTGGTGGACAAAGTGGCGCTGGGGCGGGTTTTCTCCGAGTACTTCGGTTTCCCTTGCCAATCTTCATTCCACCAAATTCTCCATCATCATAATCACTCAG